ATATATATATATATACATATATATATTTGTATGTATATATATATTCTAAAATAAACTCCTACTTACTACTTGTACTAATATTCCTACTTCATGGTTTTCACTTACCGCGGGGCTTCAGGGTATGGATCCCCCGCAATGAATGAGAGACTACTGTATATATAAATAAGACGAGACAAACAAGTCAAAACAGCCTTTCAAGACTGAAATGCTGTGAGTAAAATTATCTTTCTACCTCCACAAGTTTAAAGACTGTGGTTTCCAAACATTTTAATTTTTGACCCATAAAAAAATCAATGGTAGCGTCTTGTGACTGCCCTATTGCTGGTCTGTGCATAAATATTCCTTTAACAAACCATGGAAACAAGGACTTAAAGACAGTACAGACAGTTGCAACTACTGACCCCCCACTTGGTGTTTCATGACCCATTTTGTCCAAATGCTGTATATTACAATGTTCCAATATGGGAACCCCGACATTGAAGCTGGAAGTGTTCCAGATCCTCAAACACTGGTCTCCATACAGATATTTTAAGTCCTTCCCTCTTCATGTAAATAGACGGAAAATTGACCCTTTCAAAAATAGACAAAATACACCTCAGACTGTGAAGTGACATCATGTTTATGTGCAGAGGAATAGGCAGAACCTAAGCTCCACATCTCTAGTTCTCACATTCTGATCCCATAAATACAACAAGGCAGCATAGCTTTGATTCCCAACAACAAGAGAAGGTGAGGACGGTTGGTCTATTACAGTTGTGTGCAATCTGTGCCTCTCAAGCCTTTTGTGGCTTTTTGGTACCTCTGCAGCAGTTCGTTGTAGCTTCGACAAAAAATAACAAATGTAAATATATTTATTTAGCTTGTCGACAGGCGTATAATGCGCCATATGCGGTGCTCTCATTTTGATTTGGTGCACACCTCCGTCATCTTCCCTGTAGTCCACATTTGCTCAAACACTGACTGATGGTGGGATCTGACACTGATGAACCTTGACCCTGGAGTTCACCTCTGATCTCAATGGAAGTTGGTCCGGAGCCCTTTCGTTACTGTTCCTTTTTTATTTTTGTCTCTTCAATCCATCATCAGTTTTCGTCTTGTGGACACATTCAGAAAAGGTTGTCTCCATTCCTGTGGACCTTAACCTTCTGAATAATTTGGGTGGCTATAGTCACAGCAACAACAAACTGCTTGGAGATAGTCTTATATTCTGAGACAACTCTCTCCTTAGATTTCTATGGACCTTTGTGGGTTTTTCTTTCTTTAACAAAGAGGTAGGAACAAATCTGTCTGTGTGCATAGGAATGACAGAGTTGAGGACTGAGAGCTTCTCCATCTTTGGTGTAAATTTGTCTGACTGACCTTCATATAAAAATGCCAGAGATGCCTAATCAAATCTTGTGTATTGGAGACGATGATTTGTAATCTCTATGTGGAGAGAGTTATTCGGTGTGACATATTGAAGTAGACCTCTGAAAAGAGAGAGCAAACACGATCACATTGAAATTTGAAAGTCGAAACAAATGAATGAGAGCAAAAAACAACAGTGAGGAAGATGGAGTGACGCGGCACAGCAAACTGCAGCAGACGTTGGGATTGCGACAGCAGCGTTTGGTGACGACAGAGCCAGCTCTTATCTGCTCTGCCTTCATTCTTTCTCACACTCAGCACTGCTTTGAATGCTCATCTCTTTTTCTTAGCCCCTTTGGCTTTCCCCTGGCTTGTTGCTTAGCAACTTGACACCCCCCCCCCCCCTCCAAAGACCGTCACCATGTGACTTGGCTGTGACTCACCTGAAACCCGCATCATCAGCCCTCAGCAAGCATGTCAGACAGTCATCAAACATGGTGCTCACGTCACACAAATGATGCAAAATCTTTTTTTTAATCGCCTGTGTAACACACAGAAACGGGGAGTGTTTGTTGGGGGTGGTCTTCATCCGACCAAACAACTTCCCTGTCCTTTTTTGTCAGTCAGTACCATAGAGTTTTTGTACTCAAAGTAATACAACAACATAAAAGTATCCTGATTCATGCTCAATAATCCAGGTAGAAAAATTCATTAAAGTTATGTCAGGTCCTCTGGACTGTTTCTTTTTGTTGAAATATTTTGTCTTTCATCCAAAAGACTTCATCAGTCCAAGGAGCCACAACAAACTCAGTCTTTTAAACAGCGCCTCCACATAGTGGGTCAACCAGTTTGATGGTGCTCAGATGATTTCTGGAGTCTGCCCTCTCCCCCGCTGACTCGTTTGAGGCAGTCATGTCTAAAGTGGTTCAAAACATCAAAGTTCATGCTCAATAATCCAGGTAGAAAAATCCAATAAAGTTAAGTCAGGTCCTCTGGACGGTTTCTTTTTTTGAAAGAAGTAAGACTGAGTTTTTGTTGCTCCTCGGACTGATGAAGTCTTTTGGATGAAAGACGAAACATTTCAACAAAAAAAACTGTCCAGAGGACCTGACTTAACTTTGATGGAACATAAAAGTACTTAAAAATAAAACTGGTACATTTCGTCAAGCCAAAATAATTAAAAAATAACTACTAAATCTTAACAAATGACCACCATTCATTTGTGACTGTTTGAGTTTAAACTAAAATTGTTTTTGAAAATAGACGGAGTTGTAGCTATTTTGGTTTTGGATTTTTTTGTGTGTGTACTATCGTGAGCTCTCACAAGATGTCTCAGTGCTCAGAGAATGTGTTGGGTCTCAGTTATGACAAACCAACATTATCTCAATATCTAATCCTAACTCTCTTGTGCTGGGCAACGAACATAAGAAATTTGCAATATTGTTATTAGTATAAGGGGAATTACTTTCCCCCTATAATGGGTGTTCATGGAAATCCATCCATCCATTTTCTTTACCCGCTTATTCCATTTTGGGTCATGGGGGTCGCTGGTGCCCATGTCCAGCGATCACTGTGCGAGGGGCGGGGTACACCCTGGACGGGTCGCAAGTCCATCACAGGGACACATAGAGACAAACGAGACAAACAACCATTCACTCTCTCACTCACACCTAGGGACAACTTAGAGTTACCAATCAGCCTAACATGCATGTTTTTGGACTGTGGGAGGAAACCGGAGTACCCGGAGAAAACCCACGCATGCACAGAGAGAACATGCAAACTCCACCCAGAAAGGCCCCTGGACCGGGGTTTGAACCAGGGACCTGTTCGCTGAGAGGCAGCAGCTCTACCAGTTGCGCCACCGTGCTGCCCCTGTTCATGGAAATAACTTCTGCTAATCTGATAGCACTGACAACATTACTATAATCACTTCTTCACTCTTCTACTTGTAGTGTGTGATCGTGATCACCTGTCTTTGAATCTGGGTTCATTTTAGCTGACACGTACATAGGCAAGTTTAGATATAAAAACCAGGAGAGATTTGTGTATTGGTTCTACTTTTTAACAGCTGGCAAATAAATTCTGTCTTCCTAAAGAATATGTTTTTAGATACCTCCAAGCTGGACAACAAGTTTGTAGCTCATCGCAACTATTATTTCCTCTTCCTAACTCCTCTGTTTTTTTTAAATTGTTCTTAACATTTTCTTTCCATTAACCGTTTGGGAGAAACGGACATGGAACCTGATTTCAGATTATTTTGGGGAGGAGTTTTTAAAGAGGGTACACAGGTCAATCAGTGCTAGGCACACTTTCATGCAATGTCTACTGCACACTACACCGAAAGCCAGGCTTGATAACTATTTGACACCGTGTCACCTCTGAGTAAGCAATGCCAACAGGTCAAAGCAAATTACTCACACGTTTTTAGGTTTTACTTATGATGTCTAATGTAAATGAAGAAAACATTGTTCTTAATGTGATAACTGCCTTGTTATAGGTATGGTCTACTTCTCTTGCTCTCTCTCCTCTAAAAAAGACCTAATAGTTTTCACAATCTATTGGCCAGGAGGCTAATACTGCTAAATTGGAAATCTGCAGCTACACCTACATATTCAAGCTGGATTACAGAGGTTTTTTTATGGATTACAGAGGTCTTAAACATGTCTGTTGGGGGGTAGGAGCCAGTATGGGGGTGTTACATTGTTTTTGCTGATTGTTTTTTGAAAATGTAATAAAATAATAAAGAGAAGGTTAAAAAAGTAAGAAAAGGACAGCTAAAGTCTTCAAGATTCAGAACTAGCTAAAAGCTAAAAATACCAAAAGGCTAGCTAAAAGCCAAAAGTAGCAGAATGATATCTAAAAGCTAAAAGTAACAGAATAGCATCTGAAAGCTAAAAGTAGCAAAAATACTAACTAAGAGCTACAAGTAGCAAAATGCTAGCTAAAAATCAAAAGTAGCAGAATGGCATCTCAATAATAAAAGGAGCAAAATGCTAACAAAAAGCTAAAATTTGCAAAAGGCTAGCTAAAAGCCAAAAGTAGCAAAATGATATTTCAAAGGTAAAAGTCACAGAATAGCAAAATAAAGTTAAGATTAGCAAAATTCTAACTAAAAGCTAAAAGTAGCAAAAGTCTAGCTAAAAGCAAAAAGGAACTGAATTATACTTTTGTGTGTATGAATTTCTGAAACAGCCCAACAGAAGTAAATAGCTAGCAAAACATTTGTGGAAAAATGGGAAAAATATTGTGAAAAAGACTCATCCGTCTTTTATTTTGAAACACAATAACTGAGCTCTTCTTTTTGTTTCCCTTCTGTTTAAGGTTATTCTCATTGGAAAGGCCAGGTGTTGACAGCAGACGAGCTGCACGTTCTTTATGAAGGAATCAAACTGAACAATGTGCACCACTACGACTATGTTTTAACAGGTGGGTATCAGATTTTCATTATGATGCTAGTGTGTTAGCCACAGAAGCTTTACCAGCTTTAACATAAAGATTATTTAAATATTTTAATCGTTTTTAGTAAAAATTCATCAGATATACATGTTGGCCCAAAGATTTGGTGTGGGAGTAGATGAGACCGGGCGCCATCACATACTCTGAGTTCTAACAGATTGTGCAAAATCTTTGTAAAAATTTGACATTAGTTATTTGGAGTCAACTGTTTATTAACAAAATATCTCATAAACCACCAAACAAATTTTAATTAAACTCTCAAAGTAATTATTAGATATGCATCCATCTGTTATCTTTACCCGCTTCTTCCTTTTCGGGTCATGGGGGTCACTGGTGCACATAACCAGCAGTCACTGTGTGAGAGGTGGGAGACACCCTGGACAGGTCTCCAGTCCATCACAGGGACACATAGAGACAAACGAGACAAACAAACATTCACTTTCTCACTCACACCTAGGGACAATTTAGAGTTACCAATCAGTCTTACATGCATGTTTTTAGTCTGTGGGAGGAAACTGGAGTACCTGGAGAAAACCCACACATGCACGGAGAGAACATGCAAACTCCACCCAGAAAGGTTCTTGGCCGGGATTCAATCCAGCAATCTTCTCACTGAGAGGAAGCAGCGCTACCAACTGTGCCACTGTGCTGCCATATTAGATATATATCTATAGGTAATTACCCATGTATCAATGTCATATATTTCCCTTCATGATGTGAGCCTAAAAACTTTGAATATAAGTATGTATATATATATATATATATATATATATATATATATATATAT